GAATATGATAAAATATGCATAGATGGAACTCATGGTACAAATGCTTATGGATTTACCCTGCATACTCTTCTTGTAATTCATGGGGCAGGTTATCAGGTAGAATTTTGTTTCACAAATCGGCAAGATGAAACTTTATTTAAATTATTTTTTGAGAAAATTTTTGGGCAAAGTAGGAAAAATTGCCACCTCAACTTTTATGTCTGAGGATGCACCTGCATACTACAATTCATGGTCATCTGTCATGACTTCGACAAATAACCATTTACTTTGTTCATGGCACATATCAAGAAGCTGGAAAAGGGTACTTAATACAAAAGTAGACAAAGAAGTAGATACACAAAAGCAGACAAACGTTTTCAACATCTTATTAAGAATACGAGTGAGGATGATTTTTGGACTAAGTTAAATTCTTATATTAAAAGCCTTGAACCAGATCTACAGAGCAAATTATTTGCATCATATGGTGGAGAAGATCAAGCATGTGAACATGTTTTTCTATAATAAGTACCTCATGAATGTAATCTGTGAGTGGTGAAAGATAAGTAATTTATAAGACTGTTTTTTTTTTATTGGTAAAAGATTTTGATTAATACATAATGGTGGAAGCTATTGTTTAACACTTGATGGTGAAAGTTTCATAACAAAGTTTCAACACTTCTTACTTATTTTTTATTCTTCTTGTTTGTTTGTTTTTACCTTGGCTTGGCCTTTCATTTCTTGTCTTTTCTTATCCTTAATTTCAATGTCATCATTTGTATTTATTCTGTATCATTCTTCAGATGTTTTCTATAATGAGGTCAAATAGTAAATAATGTAATGTGTATATATTTTATTTTTAATAAAAATGTTTATCGGAATAAATAGTTTTTTAACTGTGTTTGGTATTGTTCATGGCAATCATATTGTTAGAATTTGAGATAATGAGATACACCTGATTATTTTAGAACATTCTAAATTTATGTAAACTAAATTTATTTTATTTAATTAATTTATTTATTCATAAGCAAGCCGTAATTTATATACAATTACTATAGATATGACGATATATATATATCGTTATCGTTATACCAAGTAAATTGTCTAATTTTAATTTTGGTTAGTGGGGTGTATGGCGTCGTGCCTCAAGGCAAATTGCTGGAACTTCCCGTTCTTCGAATGATTTCTAAATTTTTGAAATCGGTCCAGCCGTTTTTGGAAAAAACGTCGATTTACGGCAAAAAATCTGTTCACACACACGCACGCACACACACACACTTACTTTTTCCAAATTTGGTCTCATTCGATTCAGAATGGTTTGAAACGTCGAGAAAACATAAAATTAGCGAATCGGATTTTTTGATGAAAACATAAACTTCTCCTTCGGGAAGTTAACTAGTAGGGCGCATGGCATCGTGCCTTAAGGCGAATTGCTGGAACTTCCCGTACAGTAACGAAATGTTCGTGGCATAGATAAATAAGCATGGTTCGAGGAATATTGAATGTTTTCAGATAGAGTTTTATAAATATTGTAACATTGTCTAATATTTATAAGAATTATATAAACGGAATTACAAAGTTAAAATTATTTATTTAATGTATATGTGTGAGCTTTAGAACTTTAGCCAAAATATTTGTTGTTATACTTGTTTATCTATGGTCATTACTGTCGATATGTAACTCTTTAATGTTTATTATCTATGGTGTAGCTGTTAGATTATATTTTTATGTTGGTACGCTACGCCGGCTTTCACATGAAGTTGTTTTTTTTTCTGAAGAGGTTGTCAAAATTACCGTTGAAAGTTCAGTGTCAGACAAATAGATTATGTGACTATATTATTATGTGTTATAAATGAGTATAATTTTTGTATATTTATGTTGCAGCAAAAATTGATTTAACATGTGGTTGAATTGTATGATGACATTATTGTATGTTACCAAGAAATTGCACAACACTTTACAAATTGCTAGGAAAGACAGAAGGAAAAATGAAAAAGTCTGAATGCTCATCAATATTCTATTTTTTTTTATTTTGCCTCTTTACGGTGAGTTTATGTTTATATATTAAGTAATCGTACTTTTTTTAATCTCTATTTTGTTTACAACTGTCCAGTTAAGGACATTTAGTAAATTTGGAGAATTTACAATTGTCAGTCGTAAAGGGACATTGTATACTATAGCGACAGTTATAAAAACAACTCAATAGTTACTTTTCCATTTGTTATAATATTAACAATATTTTAATGATAATTATACAATATCAACTATATACACATAATATTTTTTTATAAATAACTAAGTTATTTCGTTTAACTAAGAAATTTCTGTATTATTTCTATATTGGTCTTATGAGCACTGCCCCACAATTGTATTCAATAGCACCAAATTGGTTTGAATAAAGTTTTATATAAAAATAGCTTATTGTATGAGCTTAATTTGGATTTAGTCCCTAATAACCAGTAAAGCTTTTTGGTTTTTACCTCAAGTTGTTACGTGGATTCTCCGATTAAGTTTTCTATCAAGGTGTATACCGAGATATTTCACATGGTCTTCTTGGGGTACTTGTTTTCTATTCTCACTGGTGGGCAGATCTTTCTTCTAAGCGTAAATGTCAATGTATTGACTTTAAACCATTTATTCCAAATCTAATCGTACTTGAAAATTGTATATATATATATATATATATATATATATATGTGCTTACAATAAAAATGTATGGCATTTTTAGATAATTATGGCACAGCCAGGAGAGGGTTGATGGAAGTTGAAATGGACTCCTATGCAGCATCTGAAGAATAAAATAAATATAAGGGAAGAAGAGCTAACAGATGATGAGAGAATCGTTAAACCACCTGTGCCTGATTGCAACTACCAGGAAGCGAAGAAGTTATCAAAGGTACCAAAACATTTGTGCAGGTACTCTTACATAGCACAATAGTTAGGTTTAGGTTATACGGGACAAAGAACTAATACAAAAAGAGGGGGTATGTTTCAACAATTCAAAAAAAAAAACAAACCTTGCTTTAAAAGTGCTGTTTTGTAAGAAGGATGGTTTTAATTTTTAAACTATGTTATATTTTCATTATACAGCAGTTATTACAGTAGGTTAGGTTATACGGGTCAAAGAATTAGTATGAAAAGAGGGATTATATTTCAAGAATTCGAAAAAACAACTCGTTGTTTGAAAAATCAGTTTTGTAAGAGGGGATGGTTACAATTCTTAAACCGTGTATAGCCAATCTGTGTTGTATAAATACCATTTTATGTGGGGGTAACCTGTGTAAATAATATTTTAATTACAAATATCATTTATTTTGAATTTAATTTTCATATTTTATTATAAACGGTAACAAAAATGTGTTATAATGTTATGATAAGAGTCATGTACTAGAAAAGCAGAATTTTTGTTTATTAACGCAAAGGGGGTTTAAAAAAATAAATACAGATTCAGCAAATTTTCTGAGGTCAACATTCTTTTCCTTATGTAAAATAATAGGATTTTTGGTATTGAAAGTATGGTTTCTCTAAACTAATCACATGTTCCGCAAACATTGTTTTAAACTGATTTTTATTTCTTGAATTGCAAATGTGTTGGTTTATTATCTTGTAAATATATTGCAAACTTTTACCAATATAACAACAATTACAATCATTGCAATCCACATCGTAATCAACATCCGTGACAACAACAACTGGAGTTTTAGACTTTAAGGGAGTGAAAAGTGAGTTTAAAGTATTGTCAAAAGAAAAAACTAACAGAAAACCTTCATTTAAAAACAATTTTTTTAGAAAAGTAAAAAACTACCTAAATATGGCAAAGAAAAAATACCTTTGTATTTATTTGTAAAAGACGGATTTGAATTAGTCAAAGAAAAACTTTTTGAAAAATCATAAAAAGTAGAATTATCAGACTGTAAAGTAAAAAAAATATTTTTTAAAAAATTTAACCTGTTATTATTTACATTGTTTATTAAATGTAAAGGGTACGAATTTTTACAAAGAACTGAACAAATTAAATTTAAATTTTTTTTCCAAAAGGTTTTATCACTGAGTAAAGTGGCTCCGAGATAATAGTGGCAATTTTTATTTGGCGTGAATGAAAAGAAAAATGATTTATGTATCTACCAGACCAAGTTGGTTTTTGATACCAATCAGTGAGTATGCGGTTGTCTGAATTACTTTTGATGATTTTTGAATCTAAAAAACTAATTGAGCTATCACATTCAAGTTTAAAAGTAAACTCCAAAGAGTTATTGAAAGAATTAAAATAATTCAGTGTTTCAAAAATGTAATCTTTTTTTAAACATAAGAGAATATCATCAACATATCTGTAGTAAAAAACTGGTTGAACAGGTAATTTGGATAAAACAGATTTTACTAAAAGTTGTAAAGTTAAATCAGCTAATGGAGGACTGATACTGGATTCCATTGGTAAACCAAAAATCTGAGACAAGAAACGATCTTCGAAACAAAAATAAGTATTACTTAAAATAAAATTTAAAATGTGTTTAAGCCAATTCAAATCAATAGAAGTATGACTCTCGATTTCACTCCAACGATCACAAACAGCATCAAGAGCTAAATACCACGGAACATTTGTAAAAGGCAAAATGACATCAAAACTAACTAAAGAATAATCAGACGGAATAATCAAGTTTATTAAATTATTAACTAAATTGAAAGAGTTAGAAACATTAAATTTGGACAAAATGGTGACCTTAAAAAGTATGTTGCTGATATATTTTGAAAGTTAGCTTAGAGGTGAATTTAAGTCTAATAAAAGTTTTAGTATTTATAATAATCTATTTGAAAACATGTAATATTCCTCGAATATTTTTTCATTACGGTAAATCACTAGTTAACTATTATATTGTGATGTATTTTTATTATATGTATATTTATACATAAATTGATCAAATATTAAATCACATATATTTATTTTAATATATATGTGTAGCATGAGTAATGATAAAAATGTAAGCTATTAGTATAATACTTGTTGTTTAGATCACATTATATATTTATCAATTAATTTTTCGTGGTTGTAACTTAATCCAAAATCCATTTTCAGGCTTCATTTGTACTGCACTCTTTGCTAGTTTCAAAGGTATCTGAGTTTTTTCTGATGGTACGATATCAAATTCTTTCAATATATTGAAAAAGAACGCCTTCATTTCCATCAAAGCAAATCTTGAACCTATGAAAAAAAAAAATTTTGAAAAAAAGGTATATGAAAGTATATATCACTATGGATTATTTACTTAAATTTTTATTGCTAATTATAGGAAGTATATATTACCAATGCAATTCCGTGGTCCTACACCAAACGGCATATATGTGAAAGGTTTTATATTATGTTTGTTTTCTTCACTAAACCTATTCGGATCAAATTTATCTGGATTGTCATAATATTTTTCGTCATGGTGTATGTGGTATATCGAAATAAATAAAGTTTCACCTTTCTTCACCTATAAATATTAAAAATTTTAGTAAATCAAAATTGTTTTTGCTGTAGATACAAAGATTGTTTTAACCTCATATTTATTTCTATTGTGGTCTTCCAAAAGGTAACGATTATTGCAAACTCTGTCAGTGAATGGAGCTGCTGGCCATTTTCTTAAACCCTCTATAAAAAAAATTGGTAAGTTTATGAATTGAAACCAATGATTCACAAATAAGTTTTGTTACCTGATACGACCATATCCAAGTACTTCATCTTATGCAGTCTCTCGTAATCCACATTTTTATGATTAGATTGTTTCAATTCTTGACATACAGTATCTATTTCTTCTTGAAGTGTTTTCTGTACATCTGGATTTATTGCCAATTCATATGCGGTAAAACTGGATGCTGTTGAAATTGTTTCGAAGCCAGCCAAAAAGAATAATAGGGCCTGACCAGTTATCTCATCATTTGACCAAACTGTAATAGGGAAAATAAAATATTAATTAGAAGTTTTAAATTGTCTTAATTACATCTAGTTCAATATTTGCACAAGGCGGTGTTTTTTTTTATTAAAAAATTCTATCTCCAAAAATTATTTTTTTGGAAAACATTTTGACAAACTTAAGACAAATTGCTGGAGCTTCCCGTACCGTAATGAAGAGTAACTAGCTGTAAGTGGAATTCTGTCTTAAGGCAATTAGGGCATCGTGCTTTAAGGCAAATTGCTGGAACTTCCCGTACCAAAAATTATTATTTTTGTAAAAACGATTAACATTTTTGAAAAAAAAAATTACTCTGAAAAAAATAAGATTTTTGAGAAACTATAAATTGGACAAAAAATTACTTTTTTTTTGAAAATTTTTTTTTTTAAAAAAAAATTTTTCTTTTTAATTTTTTTTTTTTTGAAAAAATTTTTTTTTTTATTTTGACATATTGTGGAAGATCTGAACTTTCTTCTCAAAGCAATCAATCGTACTGCTTTAACTGCATAGGGACTAAATATAAAGCGCGTAAGCGCCGCGTCGCTGTCTAAAGCATAAGCATTGGTACGGAACCCATAGGAATGTTAACAAATTGTATACTTATTGTTAAAATCTCTATAAAATATCTGATAATTTTATGAGCATATGTCTAATGATCATTTTTGACCGCCAAATGGCTCATTTTTTTTACTTTTTCCTCCATATCTCCGAATCCGCTAGACCTACCTTCATGAAAATTTTATCGATTCTTCATCTTGTCAATGTTTTTTGAATTATTCAAATCGGACGCTCCGTTCTCTCAAAAACTGAGCTACCGTTTTCGGCACTTTTTGCCCCGTATCTTTGGAACGGCTAGACCTGCCTTCGCCAAAAACTAATCAGCACGTCTCCTTATCAATACGAATCGAATGTTTTTTGAATTATTCAAATCGGTTGACCCGTGTTCCCGAAATCGTCGACGAAAATTTGTATCCGCACATACATACACACACATACATACATACACACACACATACACACACACACACACACACACACACATACATCCATTTTTTCTAAGGTATGCCAAAATGTTCAGAAACCTCTGAAACGTAAAGATATATAAAAATTTTCATTTTCGATTTTTTTGCGATTACTATAACTTGCCCTACGGGAAGTTAATAAATGTTTTCAAATAGAATATTATAAATACTGAAAATCTCATTATTCGTATTTTATAGACAAAATGTAAGAGGTCTCAAATTGGACGACGTTTATACCTATTCACATGAAAAGTAAATCAACAAACTAATGAAGCGGAGTAAGAATTAAGGATCCTACCTTTATATAATTTATAAGAATTTATAAGAGTTTTATAAACTGAATTTTATAAACTGAAATTGCAAGTTAAAATTAAGTGTTCGATGTATATAAAAGAGTTTTAAAATTTTAGCTAGAGTTGAAATTAAAATTCAAATCATTTTTTAAATTAAAAGAAAAGAAAACTGGAAAAGTGGTTTATGGCATCGTGCCTTAAGGCAAATTGCTAGAACTTCTCGTATCTTAATGAAATATTCGAGGAGTAATAAACGTTTTCAAATAGATTATTATAAATAATGTAACTTTCATTATTATTTTTTTCATAAGAAGTAAATAAATAAAACTTGATCAATCGGATTTAAAATAAAGAACATTGTTTAATATTTATATGTATTATATATAAACTGAATTGCAGTTAAAATTATTTATTTAAAGTATATAAATGATGTTTAGATCTTTGGCTATAATTAGAATTAAAATCCGAATTATTTTTCAATATTCTATTCTAATTTATTCTATTTCTAATATATTTTGAAAAAAAAAAAAAATAAAATAAAAAAAAAAATCTTTCGCCAAAAGCAATCGTTTCGTCAACACAAGTAGAAAGTTTCTTTAATCATTTAAATCGGATTCTTAGTTCTAAATCAAATGTTTTTGGATAATTTAAATCGGTTGATTCGTTCTTTTGAAAACTGTAATTTTTAGCACTTTTTGCTCCATATCTCCGAAGCCGCTGTCTCCCTATCAATAGAAATCGATTGCTTTTTGAATGTTTCAAATCGGTTCATCCATACCACCGATATAGTACGCCAAAAGTTGTCTCCACACACACACACACACACAACTTTTTTCTGAGGTAATGTTCATAAACTTCTGAAACGTGAAGATATGCAAAAATTTTCATTTTAGATTTTTGATCCATTACTATAACTTAACCTACGGGAAGTTAATTGTTTTTTCAAATTTTGAAATAAATTAAAAATCCAATATTTTTTTAATACATTGGCTGTTTTTAATAGAGTTTTAAGGTTCAAACCAAACCACCACATACAGTAATTTGTAGTCTTTGTTTTAGTTGTGAAAGACTCACCTCTCCTAGGAGTGTGTGTTTTAGTGATCGCAGATTCAGTGACGGTTGCAAATCCGGCATCATGGGCCACATCACCAGCTGCATCATGCTGCAATGCTCCCTTTTTAGCCTGCATAAGCAAATGGATCATATCAGGTCTAACAATTCCTTGTTCTTCCCTCGTTTCCATTGTGTCGTGCACTAATGTACGGAAAAACTGACCACAGGTTCGGTCGAGCAGTGATACTCTGAAAAACTACGATACCTTGTATAAGTTAGAAACGAATAATTGGAATTTATTCTAATATTTAAATCTTTTTTTAAATTATCAATAATTAAACTTATTTAAATCTTTTAATTAGCTTACTTTCATAACGCGAGGCATCATCATGAATGCAAAAAATTTCAAGCTGACCAAGACTCCTGAGAAGTTAGTAACTCTTTTACCCATTTTATAAAAAATATTTTCAGGATCCTTCAAGGAATCTACTTTAATTCCAAATGCAGAAGTAGCAATGACATCATTAGCGTATTTTGTAACTAGATCTTTTACCTCTAGGTCGAGTGCTCCTGTAGGGAAATAAATTTAATTAGGCTTTGTAATATATTTATAATATTTTGTTTTGGAAATACCCAATGCTATTATATATTTGTTAATATCCTAGGATTAACTACTTTTGTGATAAGCTTTCTGAGTTTACAGAAAAATATATTATTTATGGGACAAATCAATTGCGTCCAATTGAGCATTTATATCATCAATTTTTCTACACTATTAGCCCAATTCTCGGATTTGCCTACTATTTTGTTTAACTGGTAGATAGACGAATATCTAGACAGATAGACAGGTAGACAGGTTAATTGGTAGACATGTAGATTCTACATTCTAGAACGAGATGACAAGTACATTGGTAAATTGGTGGACAGCTAAATTGGTATACTAATTAACAGTTCGGCAGATACATTGGTGGGCAGGTTAATAGGTAAACAGATTAACAGGTAGATAGGTAAATTCGTACACAGATGTACAGGTAGACATGAGGAAATGTAAAATGGTGGACAGAACAACTGGTAGATAAACAAATATGTAGAGAGGTAAACAGGTTGACCTATGGACACGTAAATAGGTAGACAGACATACTTGTGAATAGTTATACTGGTGAACAGGTAAATTGGTGGACAGGTAAATTTGTGGACAGGTAAATTTGTGGACAGGTAAATTGGTTGATGGGTAAACTGATAGAAAGGTAGAGAGGTAGATAGGTGGTCATATAGACAGGCAAACTGGAAGCGAAGAAAACTGGTAGATTAGATGTAACTAATACGCATTTCTGTTCAAATTTTTAATTGAAAACACGGCGAAGCGGGATGGGTACAGGGGGCTATAGTGTAATAAATTGGCAAATTCAATAATAATTTATGTTACCTTTTTTATTAACTTCCTGATGTAAATAATGTGTTATTTGTTCTGCGCACTCAACAATAAATTCGAACATAAGTCTCATTTTGCTTCCTGTAAATGCTGGACTGAGCGTTGCCCTCATGTCGCGCCATTTTTGATCTGTAAAATATAAATATTAATAAAACAATATTTTTATATAATTAATAATATTGAGACATTCTTAGTAGGATTTGATTCGTTTGAATATAAGTGAAATATTTTACCTTGCAAAGCAAAGAGGCTGCTTCCAAACAGTGGTTCCACATCGACGTCGAAAAAGGGGCGATGATTTGTAAAACTATCGAAATCTTTGACACCTACTTGGCGAATTAATTCGGGATCTCTCAGTAAAACGGAAAATAAGCGCATTTGGAAAACTCCAACGAATCTATAACATAACACTAATAAATACTCAATTTAAAGGCTGGTGACTCCAAAAGATTTTGCTGGAGGTATGAATATTCTCTCTTTGTTAGTTGGTTTTTATTGATTCTATTCTCATCACTTTATTAATATTAAGGAAGCTATAAATAACAGCTATTACTTATTGATTAAATTATAAATTTACTGTTTTTAATAATTATTATGCTTATCATTGCTTAGTACTGAAACCTGTGTAAATGTCTATTTGCTGTGGGATCAGGCGTATTTTACATATAGAAAAGCAAGGAAGAATGTTATGCTAACAGTATTTTTGATGATGCAGTTGTCATAACATTCTTCCTTGTTTGTTTATATGTAAAATACGCCTGATCGCACAGCAAATAGATAAGACATTTTCACAGTTTTTACGACCAAGTAATGAACCTAAGATAGCGTTGCCATAACAACGCTACGTTATAAGGCAGATTTCCTCATTTATCTATACATCAAAAGTCTTTGCCAAGCAAAAATCTTGGCCCGACTTCATTTAATTTTCTTAACGATTTTAATTACCTGCTCTGTGGAAATGCATCATATGATCTTCCTATGCTTTCAATGACATTTTCCATCCTTAACGCGAGTTTCAAAGAATTTCCAACCAACACAACTGGTTTCACATATGGAACGATTGTGCCTTTGAATCTATCAAAGGTCCATGTTCCATATATGTACAGTGCAAACAGCAATACTACTACGAGTAAAATGTATTCCAACATTTTTCTGAAAATGAACAAAATTTATTATTATAATTATATTAAGTACAAATATATGCTTTGAGGATATAATTAAATATAAAAACATTAATATAATATTATTCAAACCTTAATGCATCAATTATACTCAATTTTTTATTTTGAAAACTTGGGTTTTTTATTATCAAACATTTTGAATAAATATACATAACCATTGCATATTATTATTATGGAACTTTTTGGCGATATACATCATGGTCTTATAGAACTTACTAAAATATCACGGCCTTACGACATGTAGTTTGATTTTAAAAATTTAATTTATCAAAGTTTGAGACAATGAGTAGTTTTTTTTGACGTTTATTCAGATTAAAATTAGACGATTCACTTGGTATAGAGTACTTGGTTTTAATGAACATACTAAAGCATTAAAGTCCTACGGAAACTGGTTCAATTGTAAAAATTGTTGATTTTTGAAAAATTGCTTCTAGAAAATATTCCGAGTTATCGTGTTCGTTCGTTTTCATACTTTAATCACTTATAAATTAATTTATTTTTCATTGATTATTTTTCATTATTTACACATATCGGGGAGTTCATTTTTTTAAATTTCTTACCCAGCTTTATTTATATCTTGTAAAATTGAACATGCCTAAAATACTAGTATTAAAACGTTACAAATGCTCTAATTATTACTTTGTTGAACTTAAATTATGTTAGGTACCCAGTAAATCACTAAAGTTAAAATAACGTAGCACAGATAAAAACGTTTATGTTACGTTGATAAAACGAAACGATTTATGTTACGTTTAGTTATAACCTTCAATCGGCTTGAACGGGTTTTGTTCGTTATGTGACAGCTACGTAACACAATTTCATAAATTTATCATACAACATGGACGGTTTTGTACAGCTGTTTGACAGAATGACGAAAACATACAATTTTTTTAGGAACTTAAAAAACTTTCCGACAAATGGTGAAACTGCAAAGTAATAAATCAATAAATATTAATAAACTAAGGATGTTTGAAAATAACAATGTATACTATTATAATATTGATGAAAGTATGTTTTTGATAAGCACATAAATATTTTTAACTTCCCGTAGGGCAAGTTATAGTAATCGCAAAAAAATCGAAAATGAAAATTTTTGCATTTCTCGACGTTTTAAAGGTTTCTGAATATTTTGGCATACCTTAGAAAAAATGGATGTATGTGTGTGTGTGTGTATGTGTGTGTGTGTGCGTGTGTGTATGTATGTGCGGATACAAATTTTCGTCGATGATTTCGGGAACACCGATCAACCGATTTGAATAATTCAAAGAACATTCGATTCGTATTGATAAGGAGACGTGCTGATTAGTTTTTGGCGAAGGCAGGTCTAGCCGTTCCGAAGATACGGGGCAAAAAGTGCCGAAAACGGTAACTCAGTTTTTAAGAGAACGGAGCGTCCGATTTGAATAATTCAAAAAATATTTTACTTGTATTGGCAAGATGAAGAATTGATCAAATTTTCATGAAGACAGGTCTAGCGGTTTCCGAGATCTAATGAAAAAAGTAAAAAAAAATGCCTTTCGGCGGTTAAAAACGATCATTAGACATATGCACATCAAATTATCAGATATTTTATAGAGATTTTAACAATAAGTATAATTTTTTTTTACATTTCTATGGGTTCCGTACCAATGCTTATGCGTTAGACGGCGGCGCGGCACTTGCGCTGTGACATTTCGTCTCTATGCGGTTCAAGCAGTACGATTGCTTTGAAAAAAAGTTCAGAATTTCCAAAATATGTCAAAATGAAGAAAACATTTTTCTTTTCAAAAATAAATTTTGTCTTCAAAAAAAAATTTTTTCTTTCAAAAAAAAATTTTTTTTCACAAATAAAATTTTTTTTTTCAAAAAAAAAGTAATTTTTTGTCAAATTTATAGTTTCTCAAAAATCTAATTTTTTCGAAGTAAATTTTTTTCAAAAATGTTAATCGTTTTTTAAAAAATAATGATTTTTGGTACGGGAAGTTCCAGCAATTTGCCTTAAGGCACGATGCCCTAATTGCCTTAAGACAGAATTTCACTTACAGCTAGTTTTTCTTCAGTTTGGAGGCGCTTCTGTAAATACCATCGGTTAAACTCAGTGATCTATACAACAATTCATTTTTTAACTCCCCATAGGGTAATGGGCCTAAAATCGAAATGATTTTTTTTGCATATCTTCACGTTTTGATTTCTGAACATTTTAGCATAACTCAGAAAAAATGAATGTGTGTGTGTGTGTTTTGTGTCCGCATTTTTTCGTTCACGCTTTCGGGCGCACGGATCAACAGATTGGAATGGTTCAAAAAACATTCGATTTCAATTGATAGGGAGATGTGCTGATTAGTTTTTGGCAAAGCAGAAAATACAAATCGAGTTTTTAAGAGAACGGAGTATCCGATTTGAATGATCTAAATAACATTTAATTTGTAATGATTAGTTTTTGGCGAAGGCAGGTCCAGCCATTTCGAAAATACAGAGCAAAAAAAATTTTTTTTGTATATCGAAAATAATTCTGATTTTAATTTTAATTCTGACTAAAGTTCAAAATAATTTCAACTTCGCAATTAAGTTTATATAATTCTTATAAATATTAGACATTGTTACTGTAATTATAATAATCTGTTTGAAAACATATTTCTCGAACATTTTGTAACGGTACGGGAAGTTTTTGCAATTTGCCTTAAGGCACGATGCCATACACCACTAGTTTTGGTTTACATTTACTACGCCGGTCTTAATCAATTAATAAAATGTACAAATTAAAAAATGAGTACAAATATTTTATAGCAATTTAAAAAAATACAACGGGAAATAGATAAGACAAAATATTCAAGGGTGAAGAGATTATTCAAACGAAACTTCAAAATTATTTTAAAATGTACTGAGATGAATATATTTACCTTTTTATAAAATAATAAATAATAGTTTTAGCACTTAACACAACTGTGAAGGAAACTACTTGCAAAATGTGCTTACATATGTTGTAATGGTAATGGTTTGGTGATAACATGGTCAAGATAATTCTTATCAATGAGTCGCTAAAAATGCTATCGATTATTAATTTTGGCATTGTAATTGCTATGATGACTTATTTTTAATCTTGTGATCATAGTTTTTCTAAATTAGTATTCTTCTTTTTATACGTATATTTTCCTAATTTTATGTTTTCTCAATGTTTCAAATTATTCTGAATATTGACGTTGACACCAATATTAGGGTAGACACTAATATTAGGGAACTTTTATGCCAAAAATGTTTCTATTATAAATTAAAACGCTTTATCATACATTTTATTTATCTTCTGAATTGTACAATAATTTTTTTTATTGTTTTTATAGGATAGTTGGTACAAATGTGTACCAACAAAAGCCTCCCCAGCTGCCCCCCTATTATTTAAAAATTTTTTTTCATGATTTTCATTTTAACATACTCGTATATCAGACATTAAAATATTACACAAACCGACTTTTTGAACAATTTTTAGAATACCGTCCCGGAAGGGTTAAAAACGGCTTGCACGGTTTTAAATTTTTTAAAAACATTTGATAGCTTGATAGAAACTTGAAGGATTGGTTTCTTTATAATTAGTCGAATAGTATATATATTATTTCGCAAAACGTCAACGGCAAAAATCCTAAACCGGATTTGAAAATTCTTAAACTGTTCGACAGATATCAGTTGACTATCATGGTGATTAGTTTTTGGTAAAGATTTGTTATTATTTTATTACTATTTATTATTAGTTTTTGGGAGAATAGTTTCCTCGAAACTAATTGTTGAAGAAAATATTTGGACGACTTTGATAATGCAACTTGCATAGTGATAGAGTTCATAGTATAAACAAACCAACATCCTAAATTATTATTGGCCCACGAAATTGGTGTCCTAAGCGGTTGTTCGTGCTAGTGTGATGCCTAGTATTTTTTTCAAATTTGTCCAAATTGAATAACACTAGCGATATTTTCTAACATTATTTCTAAAATAATTTCATTTACGAATTTTTTTTGTATATATTTGTAAAAATATTATTTATTATCCTGTTTTGCAGAAACATATCGTATATGCACTAGTTTAATAGCTATCAAACATTTAATATTTTATATTTTCAGTTATCAACACTAACACCAATTATCACTAAAATAATGAATTCTTGCCTTTTTATATTTTGAGTAATTGAAAATAGCACGAGAAATCACATGTAGTTGAATAATGTTTTTTAAATATTTCGTTAGATGAAAATAAGTACTTATTTAATTTTTTTCACTTCATATTAATACTAATATACTAATGTGTTTTTATTTCCTTCGAATATTTCGTGTCGATGGTACTAGTGTTCAAATACATTTTGATTGTGAGTAAAATTCTAAATATACGCATCGTTTCCAGATGGTAACTTGTAAATAATTCATACTAAGTCGAACATGGTTATTTGCTGATTTTGTATACATAAGATTTAAAAATTTATATCATTTAAAATTTATCAGAAAAAATTATAACATAAAAATCATACATAATTCTGGATGAGACAAATAAAAAAATATAAGCTACAAACTAAATTATGTACTTGCGTTTATTAATTTTGCATGACGATTAGCTAAGCCGTTTCTTCACAATTAGCCGAAAAGTGTAAAATTGTTTTCCACATTGGACCTGAAATAGTTGATTTTTTATTCCTTCAATGCCAGTAAAATGTTTTGTGAATCATTCAAATCGGTCGCTCCATTCTCTCAAACACTGAATCGAAATTTTCAATTACTCAAAATATAAAAAAGTAAGAATTTCATTATTTAAGTGATAATTGGTTTTAGTGATGATAACAAAAATTATTATATAAAATTTCAAATGTTTGATAGCTATTAAACTAGTGCATATATGATATATTTCTGTACTAACAAGATAATAAATAATAATAATAATATATACGAGGTCTGTTCAAAAAGTACCCGGAATTTTCGTTTTTTCAAAAAAATATTTATTTATTCGTCTACATTAATGTGGTCCCCTTCAAAGTAGTCCCCCCCAGATATAATACACTTATGCCAGCGTTTTTTCCAATTTTCGAAGCACCCTTGATATTCACTTTTTGATATGTCCTTGTGCACTCTCAGCGATTTTCTTCAATCGAGGAAAACCGCCGTCCTTTCATGGGTCTCTTCAACTTTGGGAATAGGAAAAAGTCACACGGAGCCATATCTGGTGAATTTTTGCACTTTGCAACACTTTATTTCATTTTTTACGCAAAATTTAATACAAATTCTTTGACTTTTCAATTCTTCCATTGTAAAAATCGCCGAGCTCAGAAAAACACGTCGAACCTTAGCGACTACCACAGACAAAGTAAACAGTGAATATAGCTGAAAATTTCATCATACTTTAGGGGCATGTATACCAACACAATAAAAAAAAATTTTGACAATCAGACACTCCAGACCCGCGAAATTTAATTATTAGTAATTCCGGGTACTTTTTGAACAGACCATGTATATATAATATATATATATATATATATATATAATATATATATATATATATATAATATATATATATATATATATATATATATATATATAAGGATTTTCATATTAAAAACATCAGTATGATCACACACACAAATTGTTTTTATTAACTTCCCGAAGGAGAAGTTTATGCTTACATAAAAAAATCTGTTTCGATAATTTTATGTTTTCTCGACGTTTCAAGCCATTCTGAATCGAATGAGACCAAATTTGGGAAAAGTATGTGTGTGTGTGCATGTGAACAGATTTTTTGCCATAAATAGATATTTTCTCAAAAACGGCTGGATCCATTTCAAAAATATAAAAGCCATTCGATGTATCTGGATGAGGCGTTTATCAACTTTGCGCGACGATCAGCCAAGCCGTTTCTTTGTATAAAAGTGAAACATTTCTCATACATTTGATTGACAGAAAAGTTAAGTCAAATAATTAGCTTTGTTAATCGAATCTACACTCTGTTTATTGCAAGGTACAATTATTAACATACATTGTTTTAAATTCAACCAAGCTCAAATACAGATCTCATTATAAAGGTGTTTGATACCAATTTTTTTAAACTCATATTTATGACATGTTTATTCAACTTACGTGATGTTGTTTTTGCTCCTTTCAACTCGCAAACTGCATTCAAATTTCAGCACCAATTATTAATTTAATTTGCCATGCGTTATTTTTCATATATGTTTATTATATTGCACTTTATTTTTAATAATTTTTTTACTTATTATTAATCACACATATATGTTTTCATAATAAATTATCTCAGTAAGAGTCGAGTGTTTACATGATTTTAAACAAACTTGCGTATCGGTCATTCGAGCAAACTGAACATAACATTTGTATGAAAACGAATTGCAATCATTATATGAGTGACTAAGATGAAACATATTTTTTTTGTTATGTAATGATAAATGAATTGACCATGTATGGCTTCGCTAATTTGCATCATCAAGTGTTTGGCTAATTTTTTTTTGCTTTATCATGCTTAGACCGCGAATTTAGACGTAATCACGTTATCAACAATGACAATGATAATATTTGTACAATTTTGGGCAAATAAAACTGTTTGAAACATATGATGTCAGATTGGTTGGAATTTATCTATGAGTGTTTCTCATAAATTTGGAGGACCATCAACTTTTTGTTTGTTGTTCCTCGGGGCAGTCAATGCCAAAAGATTACATTCGCGAACTAAAAACCTATATATCCTTTTGAAAGAAATTTAATTCAATGTACTGAAATACCTGAAATGATACCTGTTTGTCTTTTAATAGTATTTTTAATCGTGAACTGTAAAAAATATCCTAGCGAAACTTATTCAGAACTTAGACTTAGAAGTTGTACTGCATTATTGCAGAATTTAAAAGTTGGGTTTGCTTAAGTTTTGAGAATTTTTTCTATCGATATTATTCAATTTCAAAAATTTTGATTTGACTTGTTAAGCACGACTAACGACGACATATAAATTTTGCAACATATCTATCACAGTGCATCAGAAAAATAACGGGTAATTTATTTTTGCAGTAGTATATAGGTTTTCACTTGAATCTTGACTAATTTGAGCTTTCTTGTTAATTAAAATTATCTTAATAATGCAAATGTTTATGTTTTAATACTTCACGCTAAATCCGATGAAAATATAGCGCTATGACTATCGATATTGGGGTGCCACAAGGAAGCATTCTTGGTCTGAAACTAATTCTTTATACAAAAATCCTACTGGATTAGCCCAACACCTCATTGACATACTAGGCAGGGAGCTAGTGAACCTTCCGAATAACGGCATTCCTGTAAGATGAGAATATAGCTGTATGACCATCGAATTTGGGGTGCCACAAGCATCCTTGGTCTGAAACTGTCTTTATTTAGCACAGCATTTTATTGACATACTAGACGGAGAGCTAGTAAACCTTTTGCATAACAGTGTTCCTGTAAGTTTAAAAATTTTGTTCTGGTGATTCTCAGTGTACCATGGTCAGACAGGTTTTAGCCCTGCACATCATGGTCGCCCAGACGTTTGAAAGTGTAAAAAACCCCTAAAATTAAACTTGTTCTTGCACGCTTCAAATTTTTATACCATATATTTTATTCATTGGGAAGTTCAAAAATCAAATTGCCAGACAATTTCAACGTGCACAACAAGCCGAAAGGTTAAAAGGATATAGAAAAAATTATGTAAAATTAAGTTATGGTCAAAATTTATTTAATTAATCTGAATAGAATATGTACTTGGCTTTAAAATAACTTTTTAAATTAATAATTATCATCAAATACGCGATTTTTTTTCATCACCATTCGGTTACGTATGAAGTTCCCGCGGGTTTTTATTTTTGATTTTTTTTATTGTGGTCTTATGGAAAATACTAAAATATTACTGCCCTATAAAGTTGTTAACTTCCCGTAGGGCAAGTT